GACAGGAGGGCTGGGCAGGGCCGGTGGCCATGGTGAGGAGTTTGAGTTTTTCTTGAGTTGAGAGCCATGGAAGGTTATAGGCAGAGGAAGGACAGGATATGACTTGGGTTTTGTCAAGATCTCTCTGGCTGCATGGGGAGAAGAGCCTGTTGGTGGGCAAGGGTGGAAACAGGTAGAGTAGAGAGCAGGCTACTGCCACAGTTTAGCAGCCGTGGGCAAACTACGGCCCGCGGGCCGGATCCGGCCCGTTCGGCTGTTCTATCCGGCCCGCGGAGCCGAAAGAGCAGAGGGTTCTCTTGCTCTCCCCTCCGCTCCTTCACCAGCAGCAGTGTTAACATGGCAACGTCGGGAAACACAGCCGCAGCTCCTTCTTCTGAGTCCAGTTTAAGAACCCATTGTGGCCCTCGAGTCAAAAAGTTTGCCCACCCCTGGTTTAGGGGGTGGAAGATGGGGGCTGACCTGGGGCACGGCCATGGAGGTGGGGAGATGTGGTCTGATCTAAGAGAGACTTAGGGCATAAAACTGATAGTTATGGTGGTTTGGATATGGCGTGGGAGAGGCATCAAGGACAATGACCAAATAGCCTAGGTCAAGACCCCTTTGGACCTGGCTCCATATACCTCGCAGGGCCCTCCACGGGGGCAGGGGCAGGGGCCCCGTTCTGTCCCCTGGGCCTCCGCTTCCCCGCCAGGCTCTCTCAGGTGTGGCATGGCTCCCCCACACGCCCTGTGTGACCCTGGGCCAATTTCTCGGCTTCTTCTGGGCCAGTTTCTGGAGCATCTGTGGGTCCTCCTCTCCAGGAAGAGCATGAGGGTGCGGGAAGCACCGGCTCAGGCAGAGAACCTGGAAGAACCTGTCTTGCCGGCCCTACCCGCCCCTCCTGGGTACTCAGCAGGCAGAGGGGGCACCTGGGGCAGGGCCTGGGCAGGAGGGCCTGGCTCAGCTCCTGTACACCCTACACACTCCACCCAGCCCTCTGCCCATTTGAGGACCCTGGAGTCCAAACCTCCAACCCCAGGGGCTGTAAGCCAGGCCCAGCCTCAGACTCCGAGCCCAACACTCTGGCTGAAGCTGCCCAGGCCTTGGGGACCAGCAACCTCACTAGCAGCTGAGCTTGGTGATCAAGATCAAGGGGGCTGGAGTCAGGGCCTGAGTGCAAATCCCAGCCTGCCCCTTCCGCTGTGCAGCCGCGGGCAACTGACTCAACCTCTCTCGTGCCCAAGAAAGAGGGCTGGCCAGGGGTCACATTCCACACAAGTGAGACTTACACGCAGTGGGTATGAGTCCCAGGTCGCAGATGGAGCTGTGCGGGTTTTTGTTTTCTGTTGTTGTTCTTTCCTACAAATTGAACTTAATTTCCATTTTGTGCGGTCATTCTGCCAGGCTGGTGGAAACTTCCAATGGTGGCTGATTCTCATTTCTCCGCGGACTTTTTCCTGCATCTCCACGGTTCCCAGTTTTTGTGAGGCCAAGGGATTAGGGACACGAGTGAGAGCCGGGACCAGGGTCTGGGGCAGGCTGGTTTCCATCTGTGCTGCCCCATATGGTGCCATGGCTGTCCCCTTCCTGTAGCCTGTGTCCGGGGTCCTGTGGCTGTTTCCCAGCCACTCCCAGGGGCTGGCTGGAGGCTGCCTTTCCAGGATCCCGGCTACTGCCTTTCCTTCCCGCAGTTCTAGTCTCTTTGGGCTCAGTCCTGGGGACACCCCTGTCACCCCCACGCCGGAACCCTGCCTCTGCTTCTGGATGGGGGAGCCTTTCTCTCTGAGACGCTGTTTCATAAATAGGAATTCTTCCTGCTCGCCTCGGCTTTTGAAAATCTGGAGCCAGGAGGCCTCCTGGGATTGCTGGACTTGGTGTCCCATCCCTTCCCAGAGACACTGGGCACAGACTGGCCCAGGCCACCTTACATGGGGGAGGGGCATGGGGGAAAGGAGGAAAACGAGGGGCAGGGGAGAAGTGGGAGGAAATGCCACTTACTGCAGCAATCCCCGACATTTGGTCTCAGTATTCCATTACATTAAAAAAAATGATTGATGCTCCCAAGAGAAATTAATACTAAGAATTTTATAAAATATTTATTTTACTAACTTAGAAATCAGAATAAATTCAGTACATGTAACAAAATTAACATATTTTTGAAATAAATGGCTAAATTTCAAATCAAGAAAATGTAGCGAGGAAAGTGGCAGAGGCGCTGTTTTTCTATTTTTGCAACTTTCTCAGTGGCTGGCCTTGTGGATGGATGCTCATGTCTGCTTCTGCCTTCAGTCCCTTGTGATATTCTGTTTTGGTTGAAGTATCTGCAGGAAACTCGGCTTCTCGAAGGGGCACGGTTGTGGGTAACCTTCAATGCTAAACCGAAACTCGCCAGTGGGAATTTCTTAAAGCTCAGTTGCAATTTGGAATCTAAAATACTTGTCGATGAACTTTTCAAACTCTATACTCATGTGAGAATGAGAGTAAAAAAAGGCAAATTATCTTGTGAACATCCTTGAAAGGGCCTGCGGGGCGCCCAGGGATGCTTGGACCACACTTTGAATACTGCTGAGTTCTTAAAGAAGAAAAATGCCGTCAGACAGAAAGCTGCTGGTTGACTCCCTAGAGAGCCATGCCAGGGTAGGATGAGGAACATGTTCTCAATCCCCATTTTACTGCTTCCTGGCTGTGTGTCCTTGAACAGGTCACTTTGCTTCTCTAGGCCTCAGTTTACTCATCTGTAAAATGGTGACAATAAGACCTGACAGCATGATAAGAACACATGCTTATTTCCAGGACCCATGAAAAGCATAGTGTAAATGCAAAGGACTTGTTCATATGAATCCTTCATCTTCACACATGCCTTCCTGCCACAGGGCCTTTGCACAAACTGTTCCCTCTGCCTAAAATCCCTTTCTTCCTGCCTTTGCCAAGGGAACTTCTTCTCAGCTTTCAGCGCTCAGCTCTACTGCTACCTTCTCTAGGAATCCTTCCCTGACCTCCCCGAAGACCCCAAAGCATGGTTGGTATTTATATTTTTTAGAATCATGAGGTGATTATCTGTCTCCCCGCCAGGCCATGAGCCCAGGTTGATCTTTGCCCTCTGCTATAGTAGTGCTTGTGCGGAATGAAGGTTGTTGAAGAATGTTAGCCACAAAGTGTCATCTGTACTTATACCTTCGTTTCTCTGTCCTTGGAATGGAAAAGCTGGGCTCTAACAAGTGTTCTCTCCCCAGCCCTCCACCTTCTCTGCTAACAGCTGGGTTGCATCAAGGGACAGGGGAGGCAAGGGTTCATGCTCCACGCTGCGGGGCTCTCTCTGGGGGCCCAACCCCTGCCTGGATCCCCTTTATGCAGCGCCCCCTGAGGTCCTCTGGGGTCATACCAGCCTCCCTCAACAGCTCTACTCTTCGTTGTGGTGATTCCCTTCCCTGAGCCCATAATGATCTCTCGTGTCCAGGCTGCTCCATCTGTCCACACATCCTGCTCCCTCTCCTCACTCTCCTTCAGGATTTCCTCTTCCCATCCCCATGTCTGGACCGTGTCCCTGTGTCCCTGTGATCACAGCAGAGGTCCATTGCCTATGTGTTGTCCTCTCTCCATTCTCATCCCCCTCTCCCCAGCCAGGCTGCATGCTTGTCAGGGAAGGGATTATGTTATCTTTGCCCCTCCAGGATCAGTAAGAAGTGACCAATACATATTTGCTGAAATGACATGAAAGCAGAAATTTGGGAGGGATTTCTGTCATCAAAGGGAGTTGTATCAGTTAGTTTGGGGCTGCAAGTCATAGAAACTCAGCTCGAACGGGCTGAACTATAAAGGAGATTTATTGGCTCCATGAACAAAAAATGCAGCAGAATGTGAGCTTCAGGCTTGGTTTGATCAGGGCCCCACCCTTGCCCTGGTGTCTCACCAGCGCGGGGATTCTGCGTGTTGATCTCCCCCTCCGGCTGGCTTTCTTCGTGGTGTTAAAAGCGGGACAGCAATTCCAGCCTCGCTCTGTGCAGATGCAGAGGTCTGAGTGGCCTCTGAGGAGTCCTTGAAATGCCTCTTTTCCAGAAGCCCCAACTTGTGGAGTCGCCTCTAGACTCAATGGACCGAACTGGTTACCGAACTGCTCATCCTTGAGCCACTAGCCATGGCCGGAGGGTGAGATTTAGAGAATAGGCTTAGGTTTGGGGCCAGGAGGACAGCCAGTCACTCCCCTCGAAGGAGGGCTGCCGAGGGCAAGGTGACTGTTCCCTGTACGGAGCAGCCAGTCGCCCGGGGAAGAGAGAGGGACAAGAGAGTCAAAGCGTCCACTTTGGAAGTTTAATGATATTAAGACTCGGAGGGAAAAATAAGTTGTTCTTTGCGCAAAGAGTAGGCCAGGAAAAACGTTGCCAGACGCGGAGATAATTCTCCAGAACCTTGTGTCGAAGGCAAGAAGAGAACAGATTTTCCTGCTCTCTGATTGCATTCCATTCAGAACCCACGGCCAATACATGAAGCCACTAATGGCTTCGCTGAATATTTTTTAATGTGTTTGTTTTTTCTGATTATGATAACAATACAGGCTTGTTGTTAAAATATTTAAGTAATGCAGAAAAATGTTTAAAGCAGTGGTTCTCCACGGAGGGTGGTTTCGTCCCCAGGAGACATGGCGAAGTCTGGAGCGGTTTTGAGTTGTTGTGACTGGCAGAGGGGCAGGGATGCTGCTGGCATCTGGTGGGCAGAGGCCAGGGATGCTGCTAAATATCCAACAGTGACTATGACAGTCCCCCGAGAGAAAAAAAATTACCTGGCACAAAATGTCAGGAGTGCCCAGTTTGAGAAACTGACTTACAGGAAAGTAAAAATTACTGAAAATTCCGCCACCCAGAAATAAACACTGCTGACATCGGGGTACACATCCTTTAGTATAATATACACGCATGTGTGCACCCAACATAGTGCAAACTGGATCATACTCATGAAAATGTTTTTGTGTGTCGTGACATCTCTCTATATTGCCATTTTTAATTAGTTTTCTGAATACAAGTTGATAAAAGGTTTTATATTTATTTAATACAATCTATTTTTAATATAGTATTTTATTATGGAAGCTTGCCATTGTTTATTTAATGAATCCTCTGTAGCTTAGCCCTTGGGTTTCCCCCTCCCGGTGTTTTACTATTATAAACAACACTTCGGTGAACACGGTTGTCCATAGAGACTGCTTGGCCTGCTATATCCTTAGGAGAAATGCCCCAAGGTTAAATTTCTGAGTTGCTTTAAAATTTCTGCCCATTGAACATCATGGCGCACACCACCATTCTCTGCCAATCTGATAGTTGGGAAATGATATGTCATTGTAGCTTTTATTTGCATTTCCTTGATTACTGGATCTTGTAATCATGCTTACAAGGTGGATCTTGTCTTCATGTTTGCCTGCCTTTTGTACTTCTTCACTTCTGAATAGCCAATTTATAATAAGGTGAGTACCTTTTCCTATTGTTTTGCAAGGGCTCTTTGTATATGAAGGGCAATAACCCTTTCTAAGAGTTCCATCGTTGACTTTAGAAGCCACTTTTTCTTTCTTTTCGTCTTTTTCTTTCTTTCTTTTTTAAGTTCCCTTGTGCTTTCGAAGGATGTGCCTAATGTTCTGGCAAGTGTTTCATGAATTACATTAGGAAATAACTTTTGTAACAAACCGATTTAACAACCATTCTTTGTTTCCCGCCTCCTGATAATGCTCAGAGCCACAGCGGCAGCCTCTGCCCAACTCCATGTCATTAACCCTTGATCTCTTCCTGCTGAATTGCAGAGTGCTTTCCGGAGCTGGGAGCACAGTTTCATTTTCACCTTCCCGCTGATGGAACCACCGTTGACTCTGGGCCAGGCGGCTGTTTACATAAGAAATGATTTGATTATATTGTATAACCAATGGCAGCCTTTCTCAGAGAGAAGAAGCCAGAAACATATAATCAAAGCCATTAACTGTGCACAAAGAAACGCAGCCCACTCTGAGTCTCCCACCAACCATAATAACGGTTTCCAGGGAAAAATAAGAACAGGGCTATGGTTTCCTACTAAAAACGTGTTAAGGGAAAGACTTTTAAAAGGAGATTGTGGCTTCAGGTCTGATGCACTCGCCAATCAGACCAACCTTGACTCAAATGCCAGATCGGTAACTTACTATCTCTGTGATCTTGGGAAATTCACTTACCGGACCTGGGCCTCCATTTCGTCATTTGCAAAAAATGGCTGTAATGATAATATGCATCTCAGAGGGTTAGTGAGAGCATTAAGTGAGACCATGCAAATGAAGGCTTTTCTCAGAATGTGCTCACCCACAAGAATAGAACCACTGACTAAAGGTGGCAAAAAGGGTGGGGGGCAGTGCACATTTCATTGTCTTTTTTCTTTATGTCGAGCGGAAAGATACTTCTGATGTGCTAAACAAACCTTTGGAGATAAATTTGCAGCATGACTAATTCAGCCATCACAGTCACCTTCAGACAAGTAAAAAGGAAAAGAGAAGAAAAGGAAGGGGAATTCGTAATTTAATCTAATAAGGCTGTTTAATTCGAAGGCATGAAGAGGTAAACAAAAACTCACATTCTTTCCATTTTCCTGCTCTGCCTTTCTCAGCAATTTATGGATGCCTGTCCTCGTGATTTCAAGGTGGCTGCTGCAGCGCCAGCCCTCACACACAGAGGGTATCAAGTAAAGACAGGAGACATAGCTCCTCCCACGTACCTCCTTTTAGGAGGGAGAATGTGGTCCCCAGAAGCCCCCTTGAGGACTTCCCATTGGCCACAATTACATCACATGCCTAATTCCAAGCCAACCACCGGCCAGGGAAACGAGAATGACCACAATTGGCTTAGACGGCATTACAACTCACTCTGAGGACAGAGTGGGGAGTGGACACCTGAGGTAGATGCACACCCAACAAAGCTGGACCCTGCTAACAAAGATGTGACTGAGCAGCCACTGCATCCACCATCGGCATAGTTCCTGGCATGCCTTAGGTCCCCCAGAGGCCAGCATTTGGAGCGCTCTGGTCTGGGAGTCCATGCATGGTAGGACAACTACGATTGGCCAGGGGGTCCCTCTGCATGCCAGACCTCTATATCAAACCACCGGCTCACTGTCTCCGTTTGGATGGCTCAGGGGAGCTGAAATCCAACACACCATGTTTGTACTCAGGGTCTTCTGTTCAAATTATCTCCCCATCCTCGGCCTCCTCTGTCGTGGCTCACCTTGCTCAAGTCAGAAGCCTGCTGGACCCCGAGGTTCCCTGCTCCCCTTCACCATGTATGCCTGTGTTTCTCCATCTCTACCATCCTCTTCCACCCGAACCTCCTGGTTCTCCCTGACGTTACCTGGGCTCCTACGTCTGTGCTGTTCTCTGTGCCCGGAACTCTTCCCACTGCTGTTCCCCCCTCACCTTTCTCAGGGAAGCCTCTCTCATTCCCCCCCAGGTCAACCCCCACTTTACAGCCCCTCCCGGCCTGCATGCCTTCCCTTATCACAGCCTTGTATCACCCTTATCACACTCTCTATTTATTTGTGTGCTTATTTGACTCAAGCCTCACCCCATCAGGCTGCAAACTCGGTAAGGATAGGGACTAAGTCTGTTTTGTTCACTGATAATCCTCAGCACCTGGCACAGAGCAGAGCCTCAACTTCTAAAAAAATAAATTTAAAAATTCCTTCTCCATCCTGTAGCCAGAAAGGTCTTTCTAAGAAGCAGCTCTGATCACCTCACCCTCCTGCTTCAGCCTCCCAGGACTGCCCTTTACCGTCAGTGCAAACTCTAGAGGGTTTAACATGGCTTTGCCGGGTCTTTGGAGGTGGATGCTGCCACCATCTAGCCCGTCTTCTCCTGCACCCCATTACTCTCCACACTGCAGCCATCCTTAGCTTCTTGAGGTGCCGCAAAAGCCCATGTTCTCACTTGCCTCTAGATATGCCTCTGCCTAGAAACTGTCTAGAAAAGTCCCCCTTCTCATGGTCAAGCCTCCATTTCCAAGTTGCCTCCTCTGGGGAGCCCTCCACACTTACCCCCACCAGGCCAGGCTAAACACCTCTGGGCTCTCCTAACATGTGTTTACTCCCCCACACAAGTCAGGCCACCATCTGAGCTGCTGTAACAGAGACCCACAGTGGTTCAATGGGACAGAATTTTATTTCCAGCACGGAAGGCTCAAGGCTGACTGGTGGTTTAGTTCCGCAGGGTTATTCTAGAAATCCCAGTTCCTTCTATTTAGTTGCTCTGTCATCCTCACTTCACAGCTTCCAGGGAAGTCCATCATGGCTACTCAAGCCCCTCCATCACATTGACTTGCCAGTCCGCAGGAAGAGAGAAAGGGTCGTTCTTTGTAAGGGCATGGGTGGTTTCACATCACTTCCACTGATCCCATCGGCTAGAACTTAGTCATGTGATCACACCTAACAGCAAAGGAAGCTGGGAAATGTATCACTAGCCGGGCCGCATGTGTCCTGCGAGCACTCCAACATTCTCGCATTGCAAGGAAAAAGGTGTGGGGCAGCGGTTCCCCGCCTGGGGGTCGCACGACCCTTCACAGGGGCCGCCTAAGACCATCGGAAAACACATGTATAATTGCATATTGTTTTGTGATGAATCACTGTGCTTTAATCATGTTCCATTTGTCACAATGACATTGGGGGTCACCACAGCATGAGGACCTGTATTAAAGGGCCCCGGCATTGGGAAGGTTGGGAACCACTGCTGTGGAGGCTGGTGGACACTGGCAGTCCCTGCCACACTCACTGTGCATTGAGCACAGTGTCCTCTGGTTACCGCCCATCAGCCCAGCCGGACTGTGAGCTCCCGACGGATGTTTGGTAGTCATTGTCGCATCCCCAGCATCTAGCGGCCCGCCTGGCACAGAGTGAGTGAGAATGGATGGCAGAGGCCAGCGTGTAAGCTGGAGAAACCGAGGCAGGCCCCAGTTCTGTTCCCCACACATTTTCTGAGTTCCTATTACACATAAAATCCTGGGGTTCACAGCCTGGTCCAGGTGATGGGGGCGGTGAGGCTGGCCTGGCCCCGCCCAGCAAAATCCCAAGAGACACTGGGGCTAAGGCTGCAAGATCTTGCCTGGTGGGAGAGCTGAGGAGTCCCGGGGCAGAGTCCACAGCCAGAAGGAAGGCCCACTGGTGGGGCAGGTCTGGAATCCCGGGCCCACCTGGCTCTGGGCCCACGGCACTTCCTGCCCCCCCCCCCCATTTTATCTGGCTTTGGGCCCAGAGCTAGGCCTCCTGGGCCCTTAGCTACTCTCCTGAGGGGGGTAGGGTGAGGCTGGTCTCCCCTGTGGGCAGCCAGGAGCTCGCTGTGGGAAGGCCTGATAGGAGCACTGCAGACTTGAGTCCCAGAGTCAAGGGTGTCTTAAGCAGGGAGAGAAAATGCTCCTCTCACTCTCTATCCTGAGGGCTGTGACCTGGGATCCAGGAGAAGCAGGCTTAGCTGAGAGAGCCCTAGGTTCAAGTCCCAGCTTCACAATTTCCAGCTCTGTGTCTTCACCTCAGCTTCCCTGTCTGTGAAATGGGTGCCCACAGCCCAGGTTGGCTTCTCAGGGTTGGTATGAGACTCAAGTAGGAAAATGAATGTGAAGAGGCTTTGAGGCCTTAAGTCCCATAGAGAATAGTTGGTTATTAGTGTCATTGACAGGGGACTGCCAGGCACAGGCCAGGAGAGCGGGGCAGACCACAGTCCAGTGTGTCTTCTCCAGAGTTAGGTGAGGAGTGAGGCCACAGAACTTAGTGAATGAAGAGCTGTCTCTCTCCAGCTAAGAACTGTCCAGTTGCCTGGCTGGTGTGGCTCAGTGGTTGAGCATTGACCCAACGAACCAGGAGGTCATGGTTTGATTCTGGGTCAGGGCACATGCCTGGGTTGCAGGCTTGATCTCTAGTAGGGGGCATGCAGGAGGCAGCCGACCAATGATTCTCTTTCATCATTGATGTTTCTATCTCTCCCTCTCTCTTCCCCTCTCTGAAATCAATTAAAACATATTAAAAAATACATACCTATCCAATGCATGTTAGAATAGAACTATCCTGGTGGCCAAGGCCCTGCATGGTCTGCTCCGACCTCTTTATCCTCCCTGACCTTGGGTCTTGCCTCTGCCCCCATTGCTCTGTCCCAGCCATCCGCACTTCCTGCTGTTCTGCAAAGGTGTTCGCTACCTTTCTGCTTTCTGTTCCCTCTGCCTGAATCTCCCTTCCCTGCTGCTGCACCTAGATGTCACCTCCTTACTCTCCCCAACGAGCCACCCCAGGTGTCTACCACACTGCAGCCTCTGATTGACGGCTCAGCACTGATCAGCATCCTTATAAGATGTTATTTTTGTTCATTCATTTGTTTACTCATTTACTCTCCGTGTCCTCCAATTGAGCACTGGGCCCTGTCTGTCTTGTCCTTCATGGCATCCAGAGCCGAGCACAGGGCCTGGCACATGGTAGGTGCTCAGTAAGTATTTATTGACTAAGTGAATATGTGCATAGGAGGAAGGATGGGGAGCTAGCATTACTGAACACCTACTACGTGCCAGCCACGTTCGCGATTCCCTTCCAGCCTCACAACCTCACTGCCTGGTCAGAATGATCCTCATGTCACAGAGTAATGAAGTGACCCTACTAAGGTCACTCCCATAAGAAGGGGCAGGTCTTGGATTTGAAGCCAAGCCTCAGACTGGGGAAATATTTGCCACCTAAATACAAAGGTCTTGAAGGTAGTAGTAGGTTTGGGTGCACACATCTCTCAAAGTTCAACAGCTGTGTACTTTAAATCAGAGGCTCAAAACTGGGGGTGATTTGCCCCCAGGAGACAGTCACCAGTGCCCTGAGTCACCTGTGGTGGTTGTGACTGGGAGGGGAGGGGCTACAGCACCTGGGTGGGGGCCAGGATGCTGCTAAACACCCTGTGATGCACACACGGCCCCCAGAGGAAGAGTTATCCACCCCAGATGCCACTGGTACCAAGACTGAGGAGCCCTCTGTAGGCACATGCAGTTTATTGTGCATAAATTAGACCTGAATAAAATTGATTTTTTTTAAAAAAGGATTGATATCCTGAATAGAAAAGGACTCATGCCAATCAGAAAGGATAAAGCAACTCAGTAGAAAATAATGGCTGGATCATTTAAAAAGGTAAATTATCCCTAGCTCCATGGTTGGCAAACTGCGGCTCGGCAAACCCTGGCTCGTGAGCCACATGCGGCTCTTTGGCCCCTTGAGTGTGGCTCTTCCACAAAATACCGACTTCTGCGCATGGGCCACGAAGTTTCAATCGCACTGTACATGTGCACCCACACGTGGTATTTTGTGGAAGAGCCACACTCAAGGGGCCAAAGAACCGCATGTGGCTCGCGAGCCGCAGTTTGCTGGCCACGGCCCTAGCTGGTTTGGCTCAGTGGATAGAATGTCAGCTTGCAGACTAAAGGGTCCCAGGTTCAATTCCAGTCAAGGGCACATGCCTGGATTGCCGGCTCGATCCCCGGTGGGGGACGTGCAGGAGGCAGCCAATCAATGATTCTCTCTCATCATTGATGTTTCTATCTTTCTCTCCCTTCCTCTCTGAAATCAATAAGGATATATTAAAAAATAAAATAAAAAGGTAAATTAACATCAGAAAATACCCATAGCCAATACATAAATGATAAATGGCTTCTCCCCCATTCTAATCAAGGAAATGCAAACTATAACAAAAATAATGATTTTCCCCCATCACAATTCCACTCCCCCTCCCCCCCAGCAAAATTTAAGTGGCAATAATACCCTAGCCCATGAGTGTGGAGGGAGCAGGTCCTCCCATACACAGAGGGAGGAAGTGTACACTGGCCAAGCCCTAGTGTTGATTTGGGAACACTTGCCAGCAATTCAAATAGACGTGCACGTCTACCCGCAGTTCCAGTTCTGTCGCAGTGCACGTGGGCTTAGCAGCTGCGTGAGACGTTCCCTGAGGCCTTGTTTGGCATAGTGGCAGCTAAATGTCCACGAGCAGGGGATTAGGTAAGTAAAATGTGGTACAGCAGTCCCATGGAATACCATGCAGAGGGTCAAAATGACAAAGGGAATCTCTAAATGCACATTATCAGGTGAATAACAAAAGCAAGGCCAACACCGCATTTACAAAAACAAATCGGAGGCAGATCCGTAAGTATTTGCCCATCACCCATCGCCTTTTTCCCTCACTAACAGGATTCTGATTTTGAATGGGATGCCAATGGGCCCAAATAAAATAGCTGCCTCCCCAGCCCCACTTGCGGGCACATAGTTCCAATGGGGTGGCCACGTGACCTGATTCTGGTCAATAAGATGTAAATAGAAGAATACCCGTGGAGCTCTGGGAAAGCCACATGTCCTTGATCTAAGAGGGTCCGCGGCTGGCCGGTTCGCTGCCCTCCTGTCTGGGCTGAGCATACAATGCCAGGCAGTGAGGCCACCTATAGCAGTGAGTTTGAACGTCACACACCAAAGGGACCGGGAAGCTGGATGCCTTTCTGTACAGGAAAAATAGAGCTGCCAGCTGGCAAAGCCACCCAAGTCAGTTACTTGTTACTTGCAGCCAAACGCAACCATAGAGATGCAATAAACTAACAGTAGGCAGTGTGTCGCTTGAGCCTTCTGCAGCAGAACTCTATTCGAGTATTATTTGTATAGTTGGAATTTTTAAAAATTAAAATAGAAATCAAATATAGCTCATCTGGTCAGAGTGCACGGCCCCTTGATGTCCCTTTTCCAGAGGCGTTTGCCGATGGGCGCACGTTCTGACCCACAGAAAAGCACGCGGGGAAGATGGAGGGGCTCACTGCTCGTTCTCCCGATAACAGGACTCGGGATGGGCCTCTGGCCCCAGCAGGGAGACTCAGGGGCCAATCTGGCCGCCCAAACTGGGTTGCCCCACTTCCTGACTGGACCCTGTGGCTCTCCAGCCCAAACATGCAACCCCCCAGGCACTGGCCTGGACACCTTTCTGCTGGTTTGTCTTCTTGTTCCCAGAAGCAGGGCCTTCCCTTTATCTTGGGCCAAAGTCCTCAGGGGAAGGGGATGGAATGTCACCTGGTTGATGAATCACCTCCTACTGGCTGGAGGCCACAGCAGGCCTGCCTTCTCCCTTCTGTCCCCCCTCCCCAGCCTTCCCTTTCAGGGGGGAAGGATGGATATGTCACCCTAAAACTCACTGACAGTGACAGCCACCATCTCTGGGGTGCTGACCTGGAACCAGGCCCTAGCCTAGGAGGTTAAGGACACAGCTTGGGACTCAGACCTGTGGGTTCAAATCCTGGCTCCACCATGTCCTAACCTGGCAGCCTGGGGAAGTCAGCTAACCCCTTGCAGATCCCCACTCATGCATTCAACAAACATTTATTGAGCAAGCACTCTGAGCAGGACATGAAGATGTTGAAGATGCTGCCATGGACACCCCAGAAACAGTCCTGCCCTGTGGGCACAGTGGTGATGCTGCCATGGAGAGAAGTGGGGCAAAGAGTGCTCATGAAGCAGTTTATTCATTTAAACAGGCTGGCCATGGAAGCCCCTGGGTGCATTCATATCTGAACCAAGACCTGAGGCTGGTGAAGAGGAGCCCCTTTGCTATCTCTGGGAAGAGAGTTCCAGGCAGAGGGAACAGCAAGTGCAAAGGCTCTGGGGCTGTTGTGTGGCTGGTGTGTTCCAGGATTGGGGAGCATGCCAGTGTGGATGGAGGGGAGAGGTCAGGGGGTGAAGATGGGGCGGCCACACGGGGCCTGTGGACCACTGCCAGGACCTCATCTTTTACTCTGGGTGACCCGGAGCCACAGGAGGGTGTGAAGCAGGGGAAAAACACGACCTGGCTTCCTCCGGGTAGGGAGGGATGGCAGGATGGGGGACACGGTTTGAAAGACACGGCAATCATCCAGGCAAGCGTTTGGTGACTCACACCAGGGTGGGGCTTTGGAGCGGGGAGAGGGAGTGAAGTGATAGGATCCTTCTGCAGCCCATGGGTGAGAAAGAGAGGAGTCAGTGAGGACTGGAAGGCTTTTGGCCTGCGGCCCTGGGAAGACAGAGGTGGTGTGTTCCGCAATGAAGCTGCAGGAGGGGCGGGGTCACGCAGGGCGGAGAGGAAGTTCAGTTTCTTACCTGGAGCTCTTGAGTTGCCCATTAGGCATGTGGAGCCACAGCTGGATATTCAACCCTGAGTTCAGGTGAGACTCCTGGCAGGCGATGTGCGTTAGAAATTTTGAGCATGGGGATGGCACTTAAGGACTCCGTTTCTTCATCTGTAAAATGGAATTAACCAGCATCTGCTTTGCAAGGTTGTTGTGAGGCTGCGTATTCTATTGTATGTTCACTATTTCCCACTTGTTTTAAGAAGTACAATGTTTGTTGTGTTATTGGCATAATGTCTGATTATTTTTCTGACTGCTCTGTGGCCACCAAAGGCCCACCGGCTCCCTTTTGCCCATCTCTGGTCCTGCCAAAACCTCTGGCACAGGAGGGAGATGACCAGGCATTGCAGAAAGAGCCCTGGGACTCAGGTCCAAACAGCTCTGCCTCTTTCTTGCTGTCCGTCTCAGGCCAGTCATGTAAACCTCAGTTTCCTCATCTGTTAAACGGGGCTAATACTGGCACCCTGCTCATGAGATTGTTGCCAGGATTCAGAGAGGTGAGAGGTGCAGAAGTCAAGACCATCAGAGACTCACCAAAACAAGCAACAAACAAACAAGCTGGAGAGGGGGTGACTGAGAGTAGGGGTCTGCAGCCAGGTCACCGGGTCAAATCCTGCTCCTTGAGCCAGTCCCCTAACCTTTCTGTGTGTCTTTATTTATACACCTAGGATGGGGTGGCACCCACCCGTAGAGTTGGTTTGAAGATTAAAGAATAGTCATGATGAGTTAGAGCCGTGCTTGGCACACAGTAGGCGCTCAGTAAATATTAGTCACTGTTACGGTCATTTCTGGGTCTGGGAACCAGTCCACGTCACAGTGCCCCTGTGGGTTTGGGGACAGGCAGCCCAGCCCCAGTGGACCTGGGTCACAGAGCCACCGGCAAGTCCTGGGCTCCTCAGTTGGTCACGCAGCTGGGACAGCTTGTTTCCTGCCTCTGTCCTGGGTGCCAGCGCTGGCCTGCCCTCTGATGGGGAGGAAGTGGGCGGGTGCCCTGGGCACTGATGAGCCAGGCAGACGTGCCCCGAGGCGGCACAGTCAGGGCTGATGTGAGCATCATGCACCCGCAGCTGACGGAGCAGGCCCTCCCCAGTTTGCCCACATCAGGCGGCTTTGAGGCTGCCCGAGGTCAGGGTTGAGATTTAGGGTGGACCGGGGTCAGGGCAAACATTCTGTCCCTACTCCTCAGAACACAGCTGAGGGCTGGTTCCCTGGGGCTCAGCTTGCATGAAGGGCAGGTGATGTGTCCCAGGAGGTGTGGCTGGGGTGTGGGGGGGTGTCCACTGTGTCCGTGTGTATGGGGGGACTGCATGCCTAAGGATGAGTGAGTGAAAGCAGGGCTTTCAGAAGGCAAGTGAGTGTGCGCACGCGGACATGTTTGTGTATGGGTGTGAGTAAGCAGGCATCTGTGTGTGTCCGGTGCCCGGGCAGGGGGGCAGCGTCATCACTGAGTGTATAAACCAGTTTGAGCATGTGTGTGTCTGGGTGCGTAAATGACAAAATGAGTGTGTAAGTTTAATTGCATGAGTGTGTGAGTGTGCCCCTGGGTCTGAATCTCGAGGTCAGGTCTGACTGAGTGTAAGTATGAGCATGCGAGCGTGCGAGTGTGTGTGTGTATGCGCACTACGTGAAAGGTCCCACAAGGAACCCCTTTTGCATGCAGAGCTTTGCTCCCTTGCATGGGAATGTTCATGGGTGGGTTCAGTCAGTGCATTTAAAATCTTAACTGAGGTGTCCAGGAACTCCCAGGGAGGAGGAGATATGCTGTCCAGACTGAGCACTGACCAATCAGGACAGGGGCCAGCTGCAATACTTGGGCCAATAAACCAGGTCTTGTTACCCCAACTTCCAATGATCCCACCAGCGTCTAAGAAGGTCTTGACCCGTGGACATTCTGAGGCAGCCCTCAAACCAATCCAGCAAGCAGCCAGCCTTTTTATCAGCTGGTAGTACTAGTAAACACTTATTCATGCACCCATTCATCCATTCACCATTTTTTCCCGAGCGCCTACAATGTTCCAGGCACAGTTCCCGGCACTGGAGATGCAGCGGAGAACAAGATGGACGAAACCCGCTTTGCTGGTGGTGTTAACACGCTGGTGGGGCCGAGCAGACAGTGAAATAAGTGAGAAGCAGATGGAGAGGATCACTTGGTGTAAGGGCTGTAGATAAAAATACAGCAGGAGAGGTAGGGCGAGGGCCCCAGATGGGTTTGCCATGTTTAAAAGGTGGGTCAGCTCAGACTTCACTGGGAAGGCGACAGCTGAGTGAAGACCTGCAGGAGTGAAGGGTGCACCATGTGGATACCGAGGGGGAGAGCATTCTAGGCAGAGGGCACAGCAACTGTTAAGGCCTTGGGGCCAGTGCATGCCTGGCTTGTTCAAGGAAGAGAAGAGGTGCCAATGTGGATTTAATGGCATGTGCGTGCGTGAGTGCGTGTGTGTACATGTGTGTGTGTGTGTGTGTGTGTGTGTGTGTGTGTGTGTGTGTTAACTGATTATAAAGCAAAGGGTGCTGATGGAAAGATCAAATCATAGAGAATGAATAAAGGAGAAACTGAAAATCCATAGTAACTGGAAGGGGGCGGGGAGGTGGACTGAGGACCAGGCGTGTCTGTTGTACAATTCACCCGGTGATCAAAGTGGTTTTCCATTTTGACAAGGCAGCATCAAAACAATGCAGCTGCGACCAAATCTCCCAACCGCAGCAAAAGCCAGCTTTACGGCTCCTAGCTCCTCCTGAGTCCAGCTGGGTACTTAGTAGGTGTTTGAGGAGGGGAGTCTCTGCCTTACACATCCTCCCAGTTCCCTGAGGCCTGAGGGGGGGAGAGACGGGGGCAAAGCCCCTCCATGTAGAGAGTTAGCCCCCAATCCTCGCAGGCTGCCTGCCTGGGCCCCAGTGGCCCCAGAATGACAGCGTCGCCTCTTCCTCCTCCTGCTTTTATGAGCTGAGAAGGAGGCTTGTCCCACGTTGCACAATTGCCCCTTAATTGCTGTTTCCTCTCAGTTATGAATTGTGTCATGGATACGGCTACTCACGTTATTAAGCTTATCGCCTGGACTCCAGCCAGCAGCCCAGCCTGACCTACTTTCCCACCGGATTTCAAAACCGCCTCTCATCCTCTTGTTGGACTTTTCCTAAGGAGAGTCCGCTGTGCCCAAAAACTCGCCGCTAAAAATAAAAACTAGAATGAGGGGGGCGGGCACAGCTGGCCCAGGAAGGCCGGAGGCTGAGAGCAGCCCCTGTGGTTGTGGCCAAGCTCCACCTCCTCCCAGAAGTTTCCTCAGGAGTCTGTCCTTGGGACGCAGGGTTCCCATCAGGACAGGCTGTGACACAAGCCACCCTCCAGGGTTCCCCGCTGATTGCATCTAAACCTTTCAGTTCTCAGTCAGGAATAGGAGGGCTGACTTCAGACAGGCAAACCTGGGTTCAAATCCTGGCTTTGCCACTAACTAGCTGATTCATTCATTCATCCATCCATCCATCCACCCATCCATCCATCCATCCATCCATCCATCCATCCATCCACCCATCCCAGGGATATTTACTGTCTCCTGAATGTGGCACTCTGCTGGGTGCTGGGGGAATATCTGAGAACAAGGCAGATACAGTCCCTATTCTCATAGAACTTATAGCCCAGTGGGCAGAGATGGGCACAAAACAAATAATTTTTTAAGAAGAATAATGAAAATAAATTAAAGTGATGGGCTATATAGTGACAGAGACACCCTGAGCTAAGATGATCAGGGAGGTCTCTCTGAGGAGGGGATTGATTAAGCAAGACCCAAATGATAAGATCCAATTCTGGGAAACAGAGCAGGATAAGGGCGAGGAAGCCAGTGACCCAGGTACAAAATGTGAGGGGGTTCTTGGTCTCAGCCTTGTTCCAGTGTAGACTGGCCCTTGAGAGTGCGTGTCTTCTTACAGTTTTCATCCTGGGCATCTCATTTGCCTCAGCCTGGTCCTGGACCTGCTGGGAAGGAAAAGAATCCAAGTGCAGGAGCAGGGCACGTGCAAAGGCCCTGAGGTTGGGAGTGAGCCTGGTGCGATGGGGCACAGAGTGCCAGGAGGGATGGGGAGGGGAGATGATGTGGGAGAGGTGGGGACTGCCAATCACAGAGGGTCTTGAAGGCTGGGCCATGGCGAGAATTTGGTGAGAGACAGAGATATACAACCGACCCTTGGAGAACATGGGTTTGAATGGAGTAGGTCCACTTGGACTTTTTCAATAAATATGTACAGTACTGTCCATGTATTTTCCTTTCCTTATGATTTCCTTAATGCCATTTCTTTTCTCTCGCTTACTTTATTGTAAGAATACAGTCTATGACACACATGACGTACAAAATATGTGTTAATCGACTTTATGTTATCAGTAGGTGTTTAGTCATTAAATTTTCAGGGAGTCAAAAGTTATAATTGGATTTTTTACTGCGCAGAGGGTAGGCACCCCTAACTCCTGCATTGTTCAAGGGTCAACTGTGTTTTGTTTGTTTGTTAATCCTCACCCAAGGATATTTTCCATTGATATTTTTAGAGAGAGTGGAAAGGAGGGAGGGGAAGAGGGAGAGAGAGAGAGAGAGACAGAGAGAGACAGAGAGAGACAGAGACATTGACTGGTTGCCTCTTTAATGCACGCCGACCAGGGCCAGTGATCAAACCTGCAACCCAGGTATGTGCCCTTGACCAGTAATCGAACCCCCGACCCTTTGGTGTGCAGGCTGATGCTCAAACCACCGAGCCACATCAGCCAGGGCAAGGGTCAACTGTGCTTGGAAGGTTGAGTCCATTGTACCTGTGGGTGAACTGACATTTGCAGGGGAGGTGGGAGGAACCAGGACTGACTCCTGGGCTGGATGGACGTGAGGAGGCTGGCAAGTGCTTCATCACCCCGGGTCATTTTCCCCTCGTCTAACACGGCCTCCCCAGCCACCCTATCCTACTTCTCTCAGAGCCTAGCCGGGGAAACGCTCTCCTGACAGTCCAGCCAGGCTCTGTGATTTACCTGGAGTCATCTGGCAAGTTGATGCACCGCCTGGACTGGAACCCAGACCCTGCTCTCAGGACGTGTCCCAGCAGGCTGGCTGGGCCTTGGCACATGACTCTGCAGAAATGCAGCCTCCCAGCCAGACAGGCCTCGGCAGCAGAGGCCGGTTTTTTTCTTTCTGAATTGTGCTTATGCGTGGGGCTGTTTATCTAACTTGGCTGAAGTTGGAGGCCTGGGCCTGTAAACATATCCTTTTAATTATTACACAAGTGGGACATGCTCATGGAATAAAAATTTGAAAATGCAAATAGGCAAAAAAAAAAAAAAATAGGCCAAAAAGCAGAGAGAGAAGGGGTAGGGGGTGGGGGGTGGGGGGGGAAAACCAACCATCTGAAAGAACACATGTGCACCAAGATACATACATAAGGACCTTCATTGCAGGGTTTTTTTTTAGCAAAAGACTGGAAGCAACTTGAGTATCCAAGAATAGGGACCTTTTTCACCAAATAAATCAAGTAGTATTCCAATGTCACACAGCCCCTGAAGCGAAAGAAGCAGATTTCTGAGTACTGGACATGGGAAAACCTCTAGGATGTAATGTTAACCGAGAAAAACAAGATGCGAAGCAGTGATTATGGAATGCTACAGTGTGTGTGTGTGTGTGTGTGTGTGTGTGTGTGTGTGAGTGTGTGTGAGTGTGTGAGAGAGTGCGTTTATATGTGAGTGTGTGTGTGAGTGTGTGTGAGTGTGTGTATGAGTGTGTGTGTGAGTGTGTGTGTGTGTGAGTGTGTGTGTGAGTGAGTGTGAGTGTGTGTGTGTGAGTGTGTGTGTGTGAGAGTGAGTGTGAGTGTGTGTGAGTGTGTGAGTGTGTGTGTGTGTGTGTGTGTGTGTGTGTGTGTGTGTGTGTGACACACAGACCATCTCTGGGGGAGACACAAGGCCCTGGGGGCAATGGGGCTGTTGGGTGGAGGGTGAAGGGTGGGAAGAGCAAGTGGGAGATGGAAGGGAAGTAACTGCCCTGTCCTTGTTCTTTTGCGCGGTTGGAAGCTTTTGTTTGGTTTTGTTTCGGTTCTGTCCTCTGAGGAACGTTTTAATAATGTTGGAAAGATCAGAGACTCCCCTCTTGGTTTCAGAGCTCTCTCCAAAAGCCTCGGGAGAATCTAAGCTGGTGTTTCCTAAAAGCCTGCCCTCAAGCCCAGGATTGCAAGACAGTGCCTGCGGGAGGAAACGGCAGGCCTCTTGACCCTCCACTCTGAGCAGTTTCTCTTTTATCTTTTTTTTTATAGGTTGGACAGCAAGTAAAGGTTCAGCTGAAAAGGGGTTTTGCCTACTTTGAAGCAAAATGTTTGAAAAGCTTTGATCTTGAATAATCTCATTCTACTGATGAGAAGACAGGGACCCAGAAAGGAGAGGAAAAAAAAGATGGTCCCAGACTCAGGCAGACCTGACTCTGGCTGAGTGCCTTACGTGGTAAGTTTGCCTCCTTAAACCTTAGATTTCTCCTTCAAAAACAAACAAACAAACAAACAAACAAACAAACAAACAAGCAGGTTAGCCAGGACTCTTCAGACATATTTAAAGTGGAAGTAGAGCCTGAGTTCTTGGTCCTTTTGGTCTTGGCAAAAACATGCTCAGGGAATCAGACTGCTTCTCTTTCACCCTCTGATTTTCCAAGAAGAGCAAGAATGACCCTCTGTCCCCCATTTCACTCAAGTCCAAGATCAGGTTTATCAGAAGTCAACTCACTGCAAAACTCAGCTCATCAGAAGTCAACTCCCTACAAAGCACAGATATTCATTAGGCTGCTTTCAAGGGCGAGCACAGGAAAACCCAACGCAAAATGGCTTAATCATTAAGGAAATGCATCTTCTAATATGTTCAAAAATGCAGAGACCATGTGGCGGGCCCATCAGGCATGCATTCAGCTGCAAGTAACAAAACCTGACCATTGGCAGGTTTATGTTGTCTCCTGCTCCTAGAAATCCAGGCATCAAGAGCCAATAGGATGATGGCTCAGTGATGCCACCAGGGGCCCAGGTTCTTTCCCACTTTTTGCTCAGCCATCAAGAACATGTGGTTTTTGTTCTCATGGTTGGTCATGGTTGCAAGATGGCCACTTCACCACCAGTTCCTGTCCACATTATGAGCAGGAAAAAGGGATATGGGGTGAGCAGTGTGCCCGCCATGTTTATCTGTTTTCAAAAAGCTTTCCTGAGATTTCTGCTGGGCAAGTTTGGTTTAATTTTCATTGATTCTACCTGGATCACATGGCTACTCCTAGCTGTCAGGGAGTCTTGAGAGTGAGTGCTTTTAGCTGGCCCATTGCCATTCCAAATAAAATCAGGGTTCTGTAAACAAGTAAACAAGGGATAGTGGGCGTTGAGTAGGCACCGAGCAGTGTCTTCCACAAGTAGTTCAAGGGGGGTTAATACGTGTGGCTCAGAGACATCATCGAGGACATGTGCTTTTCTCCTTTTCTACTCTACCATCACCAGTGTGTGGGCTTCAGTCCTGAGACCTGTCTTACCTCCTCAGGCTAGGGAGGGAGACCCTTCTTTGAGCATATAGACTGATGCCCCTAAATAAAAGAACAGTTGATAATGTCTGTGGTTGGGCCATCGACAGTGTCTGCCACACCCCTATTAACCAGGACTTTTTTATTCCATTCTCTTCTCTCCGGAGCTCACTGTAATCTCATCTCCATTCTCACTACATGCATCAGTCAGCTGTGGTGGCAATAGTGCTGTGTAACAAAACACCCCAAACCTTGTATTCTTTTGTTTATTGTCATTGGACCTAGGTTCCTGAGGACTTCTGTGTTTCTCTGGTGTCTGGAAACATGTCAGGTGGTGACAAAGAGCAATGGAGAAAAATAAAGCAGGGCAAGGGGAGAGTTATTTTGGGAAAGAGACACCATTTTGTGGGGTCAGGGATAGCTTCTCTGATATTTAGACATTGCAAGTGAAGGACATACCGGAGCAGCGAGAGCAAAGGCCCTGAGACAAAAGCGTCTTGGTGGAGGCCAGTGCACTGAGTGGGAGAGATGAAGGAGGTGGGTGCAGGAGGAGAGGGAAAGAACTGGGAAGGCAGAGGCCTGATAGGCCACACAGTCAGGACTTGGCTTTGACCCTGAAGAAAGTGGGAGCCAAGGAAGGATTTGAGCAGAGGAGGGAGGTGACATTACCTAGGTTTTCACAGGATCCCTCTGGCAGCGTGTGGATAACAGTCTGGATGGGGCCAGGACAGAAGCAGGAAGCGGGCTTTCACAGGCTTCATGACACTTAGGTCAGAGCGGGGATTCAGGTGCTCAGATGACATTCTCAAAAGGCCACAGGAAAACCAAACAGGATTTGAGGGTTCCCTCAGAATCTAGCAGAAGTTGGGCAGTACCAGCATGCTCCGCTCCCAGGCAGCCCAGCAGCCCAGCGTTTCTGCAGCATCCTCAGGACATGGGGAGCTGTGCGCTGGTGCTGGGTCCGCTTCCCGCTGTGCTCGCCGCCTGCTGTTCCGGACAGCATGTGGAAGGTGTGAGGGCCCCATGCACACAGTGTGGCCTGGGTGACGGTGACTGCGCTCCCACCAGAGATGCTGACGACTTTGAACCCAAGAACAAACCCTGACGCTCCTAATTTTGCAAAAACAAGCCCTGTGTCCTCGCACGCCATATCCCCCAGCACCAAGCTTTCTTATCTCACTGCACAATCCTTCAAAGAATAACACAGTGTATTTGTGTCTGTGGTTTGGGTTCCTAAAACCTGTGACATCAGATAAGTGCGATGTTCACAATAATGAACAGCATCACAGAGAGGGAAAAACAACAACCCCAAAGAAGCCCCTGCTTTCAGCCTCGGTTTCCTCTCCCAGGAGGAAGGAGTGCTAGCGCGATGTGCTTGAGGTTTCAGGGTGCAGAGCCTGGGGCCGGGGAATAACGCTGCCCTCTCGGAGCTGGCTCAGTCTCAGCCTTAAAGTCTCCCCGCAAAACGGAAACGGTAACCACCGCCTCTCAGGGCTGCCATTGAAAAGTGATTCAATGAGCATGCTAATCATGGCTAACCTCTGGATCAATCATGTCCCATCGGCCACCTACTTGGGGATCATCTTTACCCTCTGGAGCAGCTACGAGGATCATCTCCAGTTTACAGATGGGGTAACTGAGGCTTCGAGTAGGAAAAGAAGGTGGTTACGAAACTCCATGTGGCCACTTTTGTATTTTAGAAAATGCAAGCACGTAAAATAGGAATTAAATGAGCAGACATGTAAATATAAACATGTAAGTGGGCAATCGAGTTTGGTAGGATACACGCCCAAATGTCACCGTGCTGTTGCTGGGTGTCGCGGTTGCCACTAGACAGGGGTCCCACGGCTGTCAGTTTCCCATCGTTCGGGTCTTAGCAAAATGTCAGCTCTGCCAAGAGGGTCTCTCCAAGCCCCTGGCTACAGGGGTCCTCTGGCCCCTCTTTATCCCATCTCCTATTCATCTTGTCATTGGCCGATCATCACCAGGATGTACCTTGGTTTCCCATCTGTTTCTGGGCTTCTCGCCCATGTTCTCCACTAGAGCAGGAGACCGGGAAGCAGGCACCCGTCCCGTGTGCCCTGCCCTGCCCATGACTCCTTGAGCAGCTCCTGGCACTAGGAGGCCTCGATAGATATAACTTGACAACTGACTGTGTTTTCTTATTATTTATTTTAAATTTGCTTTAAAAGAAAACCACAGAAACAAATGGATTAGTTTCAATTGTTGCTTTAAAGCGCTGGTCAGGAATGAGCCGGCTGGAGCCTCTGTAGGAAGACCGTGCCTCCACCCGCAGTTCCTCAGCCCAGCCTGTCCTGGCTTCTCTCACTCTGGAGATCTCCCCGCCTGGGACAGAGTTAGTTTTCTACGAATGTCAGCGTGTTCCATCTCCACCTCAGGGTGAGGCCACCTGAATCTCAGGGGACACGGGAGAGCCCTGAGGCCAAGCGCCGCCCATAAGAGGTGTTACTTGGCCCCCGCAGTCCCCATAGTTTGGAATTTCACCATCATTTAAAAATCAATAGACTTTGGAAGAAAGAGAAAATATGTCCCTTAAGGGCATGAACATAAGATGAGAGTAAATACATGGGAAAACTTTACATCCTTAAAAGGCCAATTCTGCCAACATATATAAAAGTAATATAATTTCAGGTAGTGACCTGCGGGATTTTTTTAATTGGATAAGATCATCTTATGAAATAGAAGAACAGTAGGGAGGATTATGATAAAAGTGGCATTTCAACTCACTGGGAAAATGGAATATTTAATCTAGGAGACCACCCTAGCACACTGTCCATTTATTTTATTTATCACTAACATAAAAATAGACTCCTATCTTCCACCACATAAAAAAAAAAAATCCAGGGCTATCACAGAAAACATCTGTATTTTTAGCTTGCCTGAAAACCCTGGCGGCACTGGGCCCTCATTTCCCAAGGCAACCATGGGCTGGTGGTGGTGGTTCGAAACTCAGGGGCATTCCAATTCACCACAGTCCCCACCACTCCCTACTGCCTCCCACCTGACTGCCTTCTGTCATTCCTGTGTCTTGCCTGGGCACTGAAGTCATTGGAGTTTGAAGCCGCTGAGCTCAGGGAACATTTGAAGCTGAAGTTCTGAGGTTAGTCGCCTTTGCACTCTTTTATTTTTCTCGGTGGAGATACAATTCCGGAGGAGGGACGTAGCTTGAGGAATGGTTAAGAGTATGGCCTTGGGAGTCAAGGAACCTTGAATGGTCTCTGAAGCGTGAGCTCCCCTCTCAGTGCCTCAGTTTCTTCCTCTGTCAAGGGAGAGAATAGGAGCTGCCGTTCATCACTCGCCGGAATCTGTGCCGCTGTTCCCACGGCACGCACGGCCCAGGCCTCAGTGCAGTCACCCCAGGGAAATGGTGGCAATAGTGTGGTGGTAACAAAACCCGCCCTCTCAACTTTAGGGTTTGGGGTTGCCAGGCTCCTGAGGAAGAAGAGGAAAAGAGAGAGAAAAGGAGAGGATGTGGGCAGGGCAGAGGCTTTGTTTTGATTCCTTTTGCCAAAAAGGAGGAAAAAAGTCAATAAACAGCCCTGTCCTCCTTTGATTTCACTGCCTGCCTCTGAAGCTGATAAGAACCAGCCAAATTCGAGTTGGGCAACTCCACCCTTTCCCTGGGCGTGTGGAATCTCAGACCCCAAAGCCTGAACTCGGCCCGAAACGTCCATCTTAGACCGCGTCTGGCCTTTTCCTCGGAGACTTGAGGGGGAGAAAGACGGGAAGATGTCCCCACCTGGAACCCCACACAAGGACTGAGAGAAGGGGCTCTGGCCCATTAATAACTCAGCCCCTATCCCAGGAAGGAGCCCGCAGACTGGGAACTATGGGAAGTGTAGGTCTCGGGCATGTGCCCTGGCCGTGAACTGGCGGAAGGAGGTGAAGTTTCTCATGAAGAACAGAAATACCTCCCCACCCAGCCACTGACGGA